CAGAGAGTCAATCCCAAATTCTAATGATCTCCCTATATGCGGTATTATTGTATATGCATATTAGACTATATCCACAGAACAACTGAATGCCTCCAAAATTTTACATATAAGCAAACTGTAACATATTAAATAATGTATATTAATAATAGTTAAAGAATTTAACCAGCAAACATTATTTAGGTAATACAGTCAATCGTACCAAATATCATTTTGATATTTTCCCCATTTGCCTAATACCCTATGCTGTCAAGGTTGCCTGTCACATTGTACAAATGGGCTTGACAATAAAAGACCAATCTCCTAACAGTTCATCCTTAGCTCAACATCTCAGCTTGTCCTGGCAAAAGATTCAGACACATCCTGGTTAGATTAGAATCACTATTGCCGACAAGAATAAAACTACAGACTGGCACTCCATTGTAATGCAATGATATCAGAAACTTCTATATATTTTGCAAGGATTTAAACTCATGAGGTTTTCCTCCCATACTTTCAAATTAACTATAATTGATACAGTACTTGGTGGCCTTGAAGTCAGGCTGTTGCAACATACTTATATAAAAGCCTTTAACAACCTGAGAACAGCTGGTTCCTGTGACTTCAGCCTCAGTCTTTAAAACACTTTCTCATAATAAACGTAGTCAAAATCTTAAGATTCTCCCTTGGAGCCTTGTAGCAATTAATAGAGAGATAGATGAAGATAAAAGGCAAAGATTTTCAGTAGGATGTGTTTTGGAAAGAAGTTCTTGACTCCTTGTCATTTGTTTTTAGGCTCATGACATTCTTCCATTTGACTACTTAGCTGTGAGGTGTTAATGTCATAGTTGCTCAAATTAAAGCACTCATTTTTGTATATTCAGTTATACCGGATTATTATTAACGTATTTGTTAATATTATTTCCTTATAAACTGAGTCAAACTAAAATTCCCCTTGGGCCAAATTCAGATAAGAGGAATTAGAGTGAATTGTGATTTGCTTGAGATTAGATACAGAATATATGGTACAGAATTCTTCTGTACTGTTATGTAAATTTCATACAACATAATATGGCAGCATATCAAAATGCAGTTGAGATAGGCAAGTAGTCATTTGAGGGAGGTCAGCTAGAGTAAAAAATAATACTAACCTACATGCAAAGAAATATATAGTTCTTTCTTCTTTGGCCTAGGAAGTCTCCTAAAGTCTTGTTGAAGCCCCAAGACTTCCTCTTCTATGACTTCTCTTCTATGTAGGCCTAGTATATGCAAATGAAGTACTCAAATACTCCAGATGGTTTATATAAACTATATTGTGATCTCAGGCCTGATATTATGGCTAAAGTTATTATTTAGATTTCTATTATTAATAAACATATATGCAGACATATATGTTCATCACTTGGGTTACTTAGAAAGTAATAAAGGCAGGATAAAAATATAATAAAATAAATAAATGCTATCAAGCTGACTATCCATAGAAAGAACTTTCCATTAGAAGTAGTACAAATTTAAACACTGCATCAGTTCTAGTACTAAATTTGGCTGAGAAAAGTGAGATAAGTCTAAAAGGAGGACATGCCTTGCTCCATTACCAAGGCCAAGACAGTCTGACTAAAACCTCTGTAGACATTAGACAGCTCCCTTGGGGACAAGAGCAATATAGCTATATTTGGAAGTTTAATGACCATAATAACAACATAGATTATGGTATTTGAAATTGTACTAAATGAATAAAGTTATTCCAGTTCATCCCTATTAGAAAGATCAAGGACTCAACAGGAGATAAAGTTTAACAACATTTTATAAAAAGTGACTTTCTTATAAAATGAATTAAAAAGTCATACTTTGATGCTATTTTTATTTTGTCTGAGTACACATAAACTTTAATATGAAAAATACTTCTCAGATTATGCACATTTTCTAATTCAAGTGGTCACATTTCCAGTGTTCATATTTAAGACTACTATTCATGAGTATTTGGAATTTTAAAGAAATATGTAGATAACAAATTTGGTTCAGCAATTTCAGGTCTTTTTCTTTAGTTATGCATACACTATGTTGTTAGAAAAAATTACATGAAGCAACTTTCAGTTAGTCAGCAATATCTAAAGATTTTTTCCATTCTTATATATATTCTATAAAATATACAACTACAAGTACATATTCTACTAAACAACACATCAAACTACAATGTGAGAGAAATTCAAGCAAGCAAATTTGTATTGTTAAATTTTCATGAAACTTCTACAGAATTTCTTCCATCTGAATTAAATTTATGACTTTCAAAACAAGTTTGGTTAAGAACTTTCTATGTTGCATATAGTTATGGTTTGATTATAACTATATGGAGTTATATTTTTATTAAGAATATGGAATGAATTTACTTTGATAAAAAATATCAGACACTTTTTATTGGCCTCTGGTGATATTAAAGTATTTTTATTAACATGCTCTACATACCAATAAAGAAGAGAATATCACAGCAATTATATTTAGAAATTAAAATGGAAGATAGTGAATATATACTTAAGTTAATGCACAAAAGGGTATACTCTTTTAACTGTCAAGGAAGGAGTAAAAAAAAAGTTGAGGTATCAATTTACCATCAATAGAGGCAAAGATGAACATCATCTTTAAAATAATATTCTAGTCCATTAAACAATTATCGTTTTTAATCTGTGATGCAGCTAATAAATGTACTTTGGTAAGTCTGTATGCCTTAAGACTAATGAAAGAGAATTAAAACACAAGATTAGCAATAGACAAAATACCCATTAATGGCATCTTTATAGAAGACATAAAGAATGGAAATAATTTCAACTGTCTATTTGCAAGAAAGGATTAAGGGTTAACTCTCCCAGTAATTTTGATCAGTAAACATTTGCAAGTCAAACAGGATTCTACTGCTGAGAAATCTCTAGTATCCAGCATCTATTATCTCGTCTTTTCCAGTGATGATTAATGTATAGAAGTTATTTATTTTAAAATATAATTAGAAGCAACAAAGGTTTTGGTCCTGAACACCAGGTGAGATATTTTCAATCAAAAATCACATTTAAAATACCTGGAATAGCACATATCCTACACACCTTTTGTTTTCTACAAATCATGCATGCTGCAGACAAATCATTTGTGCTAAACAACCTCAAATCTGGTTTTCTAGTATTAAGCACAAAGGAAAAACACTGACAACAAGCATGGTAAATAAATCCCTCCCTTGAGAATGAAAGCAGCAGACAGAAGAGGGCTGACATGCATGCAAGAGAAACCTCACACACCATTTTTTTTCTACCTGCACAAGTTGCCATTTGCTGCAGCCCTCAGAATCGTTTTTTCTCAGCTGGTCTCAAAAGCAAAATATTCAGGCACTTCTCAAGGCATCTGTTGATAAGCTTTACAAATATAGTATTCCAAGAAGAGTATTTTTAATAGAAAATGCATTTTCTCTCCTGCTCAGGTAAACATGTTTACAGATCCTGCCCAGAGACTGGGTGGTTCAGACTTGCATGTCACACGCATGTCGTCAGCAAGAAAAGCCCCCTTTTCTCTATCATTAACATTTTAAATAAGGTACGGTAACAACAGAGCGGCTCTTTCCAAACTTACCTATAATATAGACTCAACATGAAATATACACAGGTCTAAAACAGGAAAATAACTACACGCACACATACACACACTTGTGCTATAAATAAACCCACCCACAACAGAGCAAGAAACTACTACTTCAGAATCAACACCAGGTCAACTTGCTAGTCGGTTAGAAGGCCGATGTTTATATGTGCATTTCGCACGTAAAGATTCATAACCAATGGCGCCCTCCCGCCCAGGGAACGATAATTCCTTCCCCGGGATATCAAAACCCCATGCAAAACGTCATGATCTTGGACCAACCGCTAAAAACCTTCCTATCCATAACCGTATACAGGAAATGCCAGACGAACACAAAAAAAAAAAAAAAAAAAAACTGCCAAGAAAGGTTACAAAACCTCCCGTTTGACATCCTATGAAATCACCAGGTTTCCCGTTATTTTCTGGAAGAAATAACGGAGTGAATCCAACAACACGGAACTTCGGTGTGTTTATTTCCCCCTTTTTCAAGTCGTTTCTTAAAAAAGAAAAAAGAAAAGAAAAGAAACAAAAAGAGACAAATGGGAGAAGTAAGCCCCATTCCTTATATAGGCTGTTAACAGTTCATTGCGAAGAAGCGGGGGAAGGAGAAAGGGAGGGGGGCGCATCGGCCAGATCGTTACCACCCATTATTATGATTATTATACAAACAGGTACCTCGAAATCCAAGAAGAGGGCGAGAGAAAGAGAAACTTGGCTGATTCACGCTCCCTCCCTAACCCACAGCGAAGAGAGCTTTTCTTTCCCATCGCGTTGATAAAGGAGAGAAGATATTAGGCAAAAAGGAGAAAAGGAAGGAGGGGGAAGGGGGAGGGGGAGCCCACTTCTAATAGTTCTGCCAAGATCTTGGAGGTTGGCGGGGTGTAAGAGGAGAAACAATATGTTCAATGGCTACGGAGATAAATCAACATGCACTGCAGGCACTAAAAGAGGCGGAGGCGAAAGAGTGGGGGGGGGGGGGGAAAGGGGAGGGGGGGGGGGGGGAAAGTGAGAGCGAAGGAAGGGGGGGGTCCCTTTCAAGGCGATGTCAGGGGTGCGCATGTGGCGCGTTTCCCTTGCAAAGAAAAATAAAATCAAATCGATACACACTGCAGCAAGCAACAGTGCTTCCATCTCCTCCTCCTCCTCCGTCGGGGCCAAAACACGCCACCCTCCGGGACACCCGAGTCCCCATTACAGTCCTCCTGCCTCGACGTTTCGCTGCCCGAAGAGTTTTTGCTTAGTTAGCGCGCACTCCTTCCCACCTTCCGCTAAAAAGTGCTCAAACCCCACCGATCCTCCCCGTCCCCTCCCAAGCACCCCAAATGTGAAGGGAAGAGGGGGTGGGGGAGGGAGGGAGGGGGGGAGGGAGAGCAAGAGCAGCGCTAAAGCGGGGGTTCCCTCCCCCACCACTCCACAAAGCACTGCGTCTCCCCCCCGACTTCCCTGGGATGAGAGGAAGAGACGGGCGCGAGCCCCCCTTTTCCTCCAGCAGCCCTCGCCCAGAAAAGTTTGGGGAGCGGGGCGATGCGGCCTCCCCCTTTCGAGAACCGCCGGGACCCGCCTCAGCCCAGGTAATAAGTTTGCAAGTTTGGGGCTGCGGAGGTGGCCGAGAGGAGAAGCAGCGGCCTCGGCAGCTCCTCGTGGGAGATCGAAGCTACCCAGCCACCCCTTCAGTTCTCCCACCGGAGAGGGAAAACGGGGCGAGGGGAATCGGCGGCCGCTGGCGAAGCAGAGGAAGGGGGGAGACAAGGTGGCTGCGGACGGCGAGTAACGGTCCCCGGGCAGGAGAGAGGCATCCGGGCAGCAGAAGCCGGCTGAACGAGGAGGCACCGCTAGGAGGAGAAGCAGCAGCCAAGCAGGGAGGGAGCGCAGAACGGGCGAGAGAGGCAAGCGGTCGGGCAGGCAGCAGGTAGCGGATCTAACGGTGCAGAGGGACCGGGCTCCAAGGGACGAGCTCCCGGGCAATTACTTTCTACTTCTCGCCTCCTTCCCCCTTCTTCTCCCTTCCACCCCAGCTCAGCCCGATCCAGCCCGGCGCCTTGAGTGGCCCCAGCCAAGCTCGGGCCGCTGCCCGGCGAAGCTGACTGACCGTTATTGCGCCTCGGGTTCGCCTGTTTCCTGCGCTTACACCTGGGGCCATCCGCCATGATCCTCTCGCTTGTGTCTAAATGCTCCAGTCACCTCCTCCCCCCTCCCCCTGCTCTTCCCCCCCCCCTTTCAGCCCCCGCCCGGACCTGGTTTACGACACTGGGAGGTTTGGTGAGAGTGTGTCTGTATGTGTGTGTGTGCGCGCGTGGTGCTTTTTTTTTTTTTTTTTTTACTTTTTTACATCACCTTCCTACACCTAGTGCTCGGCCGCCGGAACCTTGTTGCCAGGGGAGACGCTTTACGGCAGCGCGTTTGAACCGGCAGGAGGGAAAAGTTTCTCTCAGCTCGCCAGTAGGCAGGTACTGTTTATTGCGGGGGGGGGGGGCGGGGGCGGGACACCCCTAAGGGAGCGGGGTGGGATCGAAGGGACACAGAGGAGTTTCCTTTCACAGGAGGGATACCCAAGGGGAGGGGCGAGGAGCGGAGAATCTCCTCAGGCGCACCAAGCCAGGCTCCGCGCGGGAATGGCCCGTGTGGAGTTGCCGCCGAGAAGGACGGACGGACGGACGTGGGGGGAGGCGGCAGACGGCCACCCGAACTCCGTTAGCGAAGTTTTCCTTCTTTTCTCACTTTATTTTCGTTTTTTAAAAATAAATAAATAAATAAAACGGAGCTCTAGTGCGCGAGGAAAAAGTTAAAAGGAAGGCAACCATAAAAAGGAACACATTCTAAAAGCGCTCTTGCGAACCGGCACGATTATAACGGCACGAACTACCCTACGCCACAACTTCCAGCCATGGATGGGGTGCATTACTTCTACCGTCCCTCAAAAACATCACTACGGCTCCCCTATATTAGTATAGTATACTAAGTACTATATATTAGTAAAAAAAGGTACGGAGTGGGGTACTAAGTCCCCTTCCAAAAGAAGACCTTGAAGAAAGCAAAAAAACACATGTGCAACTTTTATCTGTTTCTTTTGTTATGTTAACAACAGAGTGGATTCTGGTGTTTGAAATGATAAAGGAAAGGGAAAACAGCATTGCCTGCAGGTAAATAGAATACACTTCCCAGACACCACCTGGATTCAAGTCCCTAAAAGATAATGCCATGACAAATACAGACAAAGAAAGACTTTGAGGACCCAGTTTGTGGGGGCAATAAGCTGACTTTGTATAAATATACAAAAGTATGAAGGCTATTGCTTAACGCATTGTAAGCCGCCCTGAGTCTCCGGAGAAGGGCGGCATATAAATCGAACCAATAAATAAATAAAATAAATAAGACTTCTAATTTTTCTTGCAATGAAATGGCTATGGCATGTCTTTTGAAAGGCCAATGGAATTGGGAACAAATTGATAATTTGATTTATCATTCTTGAATAAATATGGAAGATTAGATGGGGCAACCAGCACTATATTCCACTTGCTGTACATTTGGGTGAACAAACATTCCACAGCATATAACAATTCTAAAGTAATTATCAGTAATAATAAAATATCAGTGAAAACACCAAGAATCAGTAAATATAATAACAACTGTCATTCTCACCTGTGTGCAAATTCAGTCAATGCCCTGGTATATACGATCATAATTTTAAAGGATTGGTCAATTTCTTCATTTATTTTCTGATAACACATAGAAACTTAGAAGAAAACCTTTCTGAATTAATGGGTTTTAATTCTAATTAATATGGATAATACAAGTAGTCATAACAACCATTCATTTAGTGATGGTTTAAAGTTACAGGAGCACTGAAAAAAGTAACTTATGACTGTTATTCACATGACCGTTACAGCATCCCCATGGTCATGTGATCAGAATTCAGATGCTTGACAACTGGTTCATATTTATGATGGTTGCAGTATCCCAGGGTCATGTGATCCCCCTTTATGACCTGACAAAGTCAATGGAGGAACCAGATTCATTTAACAACCATGTTACTAACTTAACAACTGCAGTGATTTACTTAACAGTTGTGGCAGGAAAGGTAATAAAATAGGGCAAACTTCACTTAACAACTGTCTCACATAGCAACAGAAATTTTGGGCTCTATTGTGGTAATAACTAGGACTAGTTGCAGTTGAACAAATTCTGCAACTATTATGAATATTGTAAAACATAATTACATGTATTTATAATCAACTTGTTTGTCAATCAACCTCCATCCCAGAAATGAGTTCCTATAAATTAAAAGTGGTATAAGTTTTATGCAAATATACAAATATTAAATGTATCTAAATTTAAAATAATTTTAACTACTTTTATTATTATTGTATTGTATTATTGTTATAAAGTGCCCAGAGTCTATGGGAACGGGCATCTACAATACATTTTAATAACAATAGTAATTTAAAATTACAATTTGATCGCAGTTAAACACATGACAGAATTAAACCAGGTAAAATTCACTATAAATAGAATAAATTTTTTAAAAGCCTTCTAAATTATCTAAAACTAAAGAAAGAAATGGTCAGCTTTAATCTCTTGAATGAGAAAAGTTTGCAATCAGGAAAATATACTGAAAAGATCTTTCCCTGTCAACCAGTTTCTTGGTTTCTTTTCTATTCACAAAAATTCTCTGGAATGGATCCCAAACTATGGCTCGATTGATACAGGAAGTAGTATGTCAGATATTCTAGGTGAAAGTGGAATGGTTTGCTTTTTAAGCTATTTTTCAAGATGAATGTTAAGATGCAAACACACATGCACACAAACAAACACACACACACACACACACAAAAGGACAACTAATTTGAACTTGTATGAAGTTATTTCTCCTTTTTCTTTATTTGCAGTGACCAATATAATGCCAACATAATATTGAATATGATAATAATCTTAATGTTAAAGAAAACTATTAAGTTCTTAGTAGTGAAAAGTAATCTTTTTTTACAGTGAGAGTCTTTGGGTCCAAGAAAAGAAAATGGAGAACATTTTCAGAGATTACCAAAATCTTGGAATTAAAAAAAAAAAAGCTGGCATACTTCTGTCTAGGGCATCTATTATTAGAGATTTCCCAAACACAATGTAAGTATATCTTTACCAACAGAGACAGCCACTGTTTTCATGCTTGAATGGTATTGAAAATTATGGTTGCTAGATTACCTGGAATTTTGGAATACCCAGAAAGGCATTTGAGATCTTAAACACACTTTAAAAATTTAAATTCTACTGAAGTAATTTGGAATAAACTGGTATAAAATTAGAATGTACAAGGGTATTGAATTTCATCTATTTACAAGAATGATAATAGAGTTCTTCTGATCAAAAAGCTGTGTATTAGAGTGCCATTCTTCTTCCAGATCTGTAATACTTTACATCTTCATTTTGTCTAATAGTTAGCTCCAGCCCCTCTACAGATTAGTGACAACAATTTATTTTTCATGTACAGTAGAACCTCTGGTCATGACCATAACTTTGGTTGCAACCTGATTTGGTCGTGCCTCGAACCTAATTTTGGAAATTTGATGCTTACAAAAAAAAATGGCGTGGAAAGGGAAATTGGCAATGAAAAAAAAATGGTGAATTTTTGGTCGGAACCCAATTTGGTTGTGGTCAGAAGCATTCGTGGCCAGAGGTTGTACTGTACTTAAAATAAATTAAACCATAGAATAATTTACATAGTCAGTACTAATTATTACCCTACAAGAGTTTTACAATTAATTAGAATATTGTTGGTAGCTGAATATAAAAGCTCATGTACATTTAAGTCCATGTCCTTCAATTTTTTTAAAAGAGTGTTCTTTCCCCTAGTGCTTATCATTTTACATATTTCTGTGTCTTTAGTAAATCTGATTATTCATTATTTTCCAGACTCATAGACAATTAACCTTGATTATGTCGAAACAACGCAATTGTTTTTCAAAACAAATGTCATTTGATGATATGAGCTCTGAACTCTTGTTTTTGGGTCAGATGTAAGAAGCAGAGTTTGGGTCACAAAGACATTTTATTCATTAAAATAATTTAAACGACCATCCATCTAATTGCAACCCTAACCCTAATGCAATGATTGTAGAGAATGGGAAAGATGACCTTCATGGAAATATGCAGGAACCATTACTAAAGCATTTTGAATCCTGAACAGCAAGATAACATTTAAAAACAGCTTAGTCCTTCCCTAATTCTCTGAAGTAGGAGGAGGAGGTAGAGCACAATCAGATTTGCAAAAGTCAATGGTTGTAGCCAATCTCAGTAAGCATACTTTAGCGTATTGTATAATCAAACATAGGACTCAAAACCAATAATCATGGCATACTGCAGAATATATTAGACAGCATGTGCTGGTGGAACTCTCTCCAAAGAATATTGAGAGAGATCCTGACATAATAAAGGGATGCACATCTTAGGAAGGTGGTAGAGACTAATGCATAAGTAATAGATGATATAAGTGGTTACTATAGACAGTGGAGCTCAGGATTCTGCCTGTTTTTTCTTTTTTATCCTTTTTCTTAGTTTATAATATAAAATACAAAAGCGGGGGGGGGGGCGTAGCGGTTATTATAAAGGAAGGTCTTGATCCTAGGGAGACCACTGTGCCACAGATAGCCGGATGTGAGTTCCTTTTTGTGAAGTGGGGCCGTGGAGTACAGTTGGGCTTGTTGATCACGTACCTGGCTCCCTGCCGCGTGGCAACGGCCCTGCTCGAGCTGCTCAATGTCATAGCTGAGGTGGCGGTTGGTACCCCCAGACTTCTAGTCATGGGGGATTTCAACCTGCCATCCGTCGGCGAAACATCTGAGGTGGCTCGAGAGTTCATGGCTTCCATGACGGCCATGGACCTTACTCAGTTAATTCATGACCCTACTCACACGGGTGGACACACTCTGGATTTAGTTTTTGTCTCTGGTCAGTGGTCGAGTGGCCTTAATACAGGGGATATAGTCATCGAACCCTTGTCATGGTCTGACCACTCGCTCCTTCGACTAGACTTTCTAACCGCTGCACCCCGCTGCAGGGAGGCGGGACCGATTACGTGGTTCCGCCCCAGGTGCCTGATGGATCCTGATAGGTTCCAGATGGAGCTTGGGCCATTTCCTGAGACTCTGGCTCATGACTCGGCTGAAGACCTAGTGGCCGCCTGGGACAGTGCGGCCGCCGGGGCTTTGGACTGCGTCGTGCCTTTGCGGCCTCTGACCCGGCACCGAACTCACCTAGCTCCTTGGTTCTCCGAGGAGCTGAGGGAGATGAAGCACCGGAAAAGATGCCTGGAGAGTAGTTGGAGGACCAGCCGCTCTGAATCCGACCAAACACTGGTGAGGTCTCATATTAAGACCTACCTAGTGGCGATAAAAGCGGCGAAATCTAGCTATTTTGCCGCCGTTATCGCATCATCAGATAATCGCCCAGCCGCCCTGTTTAGGGTGACCCACTCCCTCCTCCATCTGGAAGCGCGGGATGATCCCTTGCAGGGTCGAGCTGAGGACTTTGTGCAGTATCTGCATGACAAGATCGCTCAGATCGCCAGGCCTTCGCTTCGGGAAGGCCTGGTCTCTGACTGGGTAAGTCCAGACGGGATGACTGAGGCAGGTCTTGAGAATGTTATCTGGGAGGAGTTTGGCTCCCGAGGACGTGGACAGGATCCTGGGATGGCTGAACGCAACCACATGTTTATTGGACCCGTGTCCCTCCTGGTTGGTGCTGGCTTCCCGGGAGGTTACACGAGGCTGGCTCCAGAGGATTGTTAACGCCTCTCTGGGTGAGGGTGTCTTGCCGGCTGCTTTGAAAGAAGCGGTGGTGAGGCCCCTCCTCAAGAATCCCTCTCTGGATCCGGCTGTTTTGGCTAACTATCGTCCAGTCTCCAACCTTCGCTTCGTTGCGAAGGTTGTTGAGAGTGTGGTGGCGTGGCAGTTTCCCCGGTACCTGGATGAAGCTGTCTATCTGGACCCGCTCCAGTCCGGCTTCCGGCCTGGGCACAGCACGGAAACGGCATTGGTTGCGTTGGTGGATGATCTCTGGAGGGCTCGGGATAGGGGTTGCTCCTCTATCCTGGTCCTGTTAGATCTCTCAGCGGCTTTTGATACCATTGACCATGGTATCATGTTGCACCGGTTTAAGGGGCTGGGGGTGGGGGCACCGTTCTGCGGTGGTTCTCCTCCTACCTCTCTGACCGGTTGCAATCTGTGTTGACGGGGCAGCGGTCAACCCCGAGGCACCTTGCTTGTGGGGTGCCACAAGGGTCGGTCCTCTCGCCCCTTCTGTTCAACATTTATGTGAAGCTGCTGGGCGAGATCATCCGTGGCTTTGGGGTGGAGTTCCATCAGTACGTTGATGACACTCAGCTGTATATCTCCACTCCAGGCCACCCCAACGATGCCCTTGAAGTGATGTCCCAGTGCCTGGAGGCCGTGCGGGCCTGGATGGGGAGAAACAGACTCCGACTCAACCCTTCCAAGACCGAGTGGCTGTGGCTTCCGGCGTCCCGATATAGCCAGCTGGTGCCATCGCTGGCTATTGGGGGCGAATCATTGGCCCCCACGGAGAGGGCTCGCAACTTAGGCATCCTCCTAGATGCACGTCTGTCTTTAGAAGAGCATATGACGGCCATGGTCAGGGGGGGCTTTCTATCAGGTTCGCCTGATACGCCAGTTGTGTCCCTTTCTGGATCGGGACTCCCTACGCATGGTCACTCAAGCACTCGTCACTTCCCGCCTGGACTACTGCAATGCTCTCTACATGGGGCTCCCCTTGGGGTGCACCCGGAGGCTGCAGTTGGTCCAGAATGTGGCCGCGCGGGGGATTTTGGGAGCGATGGTGCTCCCATGTGACACCTCTCCTGCGCAAGCTGCACTGGCTTCCTGTGGTCTTCCGGGTGCGCTTCAAGGTGTTGGTGATCACCTTTAAAGCGTTCCATGGCTTAGGGCCGGGGTATTTGCGAGACCGCCTTCTGCCGCCAATAGCCTCCCACCGACCGGTTCGCTCGCACAGAGAGGGCCTCCTCAGGGTGCTATCGGCCAGACAGTGCCGGCTGGCGACTCCCAGGGGGAGAGCCTTCTCTGTGGCGGCACCAGCCCTCTGGAACGACCTACCCCCTGACATACGCACGATATCAGACCTCCGGACTTTTCATCGGGCCCTAAAAACACACTTATTCCATCTAGCTGGGCTGGCTTGATCCCGTCCTCTCAGTTTTAATTGATTCGGTTTTAATTTGGGATGTTTTAAATTATTTGGGCCAAAATTATTTAATTGTTTTTAAATTGTTTTTTAAATTTTGTATACAATGTTTTATTTTGGCTGTGCACCGCCCTGAGTCCTGCGGGAGAAGGGCAGTATAGAAAATAAATAAATAAATAAATAAATAAATAAATAAATAAATAAATAAATAAATAAATAAATAATAGGGAAAATAGGGAAAGGAAAGAGGAAGAGAAAAGTATAGAGAAGAAGGAAAAAAGAAAGAAAAGACATTGACTTCCAACTCACTTTGGGGCAGTAGAATAAGAAGTAACATCGAACCTCAATTTTTTTATTTTTACCTAATAGTATAAATTAGTCATTTTCTATAACAACAAATCTAATCAATAAAATCCAAAATCAAGGTTTCATTTTTTCCCACCTCAAACACAAAAATCCAGAACTGGTTTCCAAGGTAGAAACAAAGGGATTTGTGTTTTTTTTTCTTTTATCAATTTAGCCATCTCTGCTAACTCAAATCAGCTTTTGCAACCATTCATCCATTGGTGGAATCAAAGTGTCCTTCCATTTTTGTGCATAAAGTAATCTTGCTGCCATCAAAATATATAACATCAACATTCCAATTTTCCCCTGGGTCTTTTTACATTAAACCCAAGAGAAAAGTTTCTGGCTTTATCTTTATATTCATTTTTAGAATCTTCTGTATTACATAGAACATTAAATCACAGGGTTGGAAGGGATCTGTTAGGTCTTCTAGTCCAAACCCCTGTTCAAGCAGGAGACCCTAAACCATTTGTTCTATGGTTCTACCATTTGTTCTGTGGAAGGGCTTTCCTTGGTATAGCAAAAATCTTTGCTGCCCAAAGAGCCATTTCTGCTGCATTTCTGAGAAGGAAGCTGCAGACCACTGGCCCAGACAAGCCCGCCCAGCTGCATTTGGATTCAAGGGCACCTTGGCACACAAGGACTTTTACCGTAGAATATGAATTCTACTCCAGTATTTCTTTGCTTTATCACATGTCCAACATTAATTATAAAAAGTCCCTTCTTTATATTTGCATTTCCAACATTCATTTGAAATTATACATTCTTGATAACTTATCTGTTGTTAAATACCAATGATACGTCATCTTATAAAAATTTTCTTTTAAACTGTAATTTAATGTAAATTTAAAACCTTTCGTTCACTTATTTCACATTGTTCAAGCTTTACATTGCATCCAAAGTTCCTTGCTCATTGACTCATACAATGCTTTACATATTTACTTTTCAAATTCAAATTCAGTAATATTTTGTAGACTTTAGCAATAATATGTTCATCACTACCACACAGTAGGATTTCCAATTCATTTTTAACAGAGTCAAACCCATAGCTCTTTTTGTCTAATTTAAGTATTTCTTTTAGTTGTAAATATATAGACCAGTGGCAGACATGTCCTTCTGATTCTAGTTCTTCCTTAGACGTGAGGAAAGGATCACCAAAATAAAAAGTTATTATTTAACAGGCCATCAGTCCACCTTCGCCATTTCTTTGATAAAGAAAAGCTTCCTTGGGAACACTTATCTGGTCTCTTTTTGGTGATGGCAGCAGCATAGAACAAATTAAAATCAAATAATAATATTGAAAAACCCAATAATCCATATAAACAAAGTTTGGGGTCAAGAAAAATATTTGAGCAGATTACAAATTGTTAAAAGAGTAAAAACAAGAAAATAAAATAAAGTACAGATGAGAAATCAGGGTAAGAATAAAGAAAACAACACATACAATCTAAAGAGGATTTATTTAGGCCTGGGCAAAAGGACCCCAGGCTGTTCAAACATTAGTACTCTAGATTGGGAGCCATTCAAATCTTGAGGGAATTTCATTTCAAAGAAGCTATAGACGATATAAATAACTGTTACCATTTTCACATAACTATTCTCATACATGTTCCATAGGGAAAAAAGTTATAATAAAATATTTATATGCTTTCTCCCAATGTAATATATTTTTAAAACTTGATTGACATAAGCATTTTTATGTAAACTTTCTGATAAGCATAATTGTTTATTTGTGAGGAGTTACATCTGAATTTCAGATTTTAAAAAGATAGTTGAATTTTGTTTTACATATTGGAAATACAGTACAAATTTACCAAATTCCTCTTAAAATGCAATCTGACTGCAATTTCATCATACATTTGCTTCACATAGTATACATATTCTTTATCTATTTATCTAATGTTTATTACATATTGACAAACCAAATGGGGTTTGGCAATCTCATATGTAACTAGCAACTTGGTCATTAAGTAAAGTAGTCACTAAGTGAACCTATGACTGTTCTTACTATCTTCAGCTTTCCTTGGCTTTATAGACCTGCAGAGATTGTACAGCCCATGTGAGGATTCATTGCAAAGTTACTTTTTCATCACCATCATAAGTGTGAAGTCACTAAATGAAAACTACAGGTATGTTAGACACACACACACACACAGAAAAACTTGATATATAAAATATTTTATTTACTTCAGAACCTCACTTATAATATATATGTATTTAGTTTTCTTTAGATAGTTTTTAAAAATATATTATTTTGGAATGGATGTTATGTCGTTTACCTAAATGGATAAACTGCTGACTGGTGTAATTGTTGAGAGATGTATAAGACATGTAGATCATGCTGTTATCACTTCCTCCTCTTATACAGATGCTGTAACTAACCTTAGACATTTTAAATACAGTGAAATATTAATTCTGTATTTTTTTTTTAAAAAAAGTATAGGAGTATAGGTTAAATTTGACTTCAAATTTGAAAAAATTCTACAAAATATTCTACCATAAGTCAAATGCAGCCATATGCTTATATAGTATACTCTGAACACAAGTTTACTAAACTTATTCCCAGGTGAATGAATAGAGGATTTTAATATAAGTTATAGAACCATCTTTCTCAACATTTTTTGCCATCAGATGTGTTAAGTGTGTGATTTTCTATAATTCCCAGTCAACAGTCATGGCTCCTGACAAAATAGTAGTAGCAATCTGTTGGAAAACTTCTACAGTGGACACTATCTAAAGGTTACACTTCACAGTTGAAAAATAATAGAAAATACATGAAATAAATAAATAAATTCAAAGCCCTTGAATAATGTTTGCTGCTTTTAAAGTACACTATATCCTGGTTGAAAGTCAGTTTGGTATAGTGGTTAAAGTATCAGGCTACAAACCAGGGATTGTGAGTTCTGGTCCTGCCTTGGGCACAAAGTCAACTGAATGATTTTGGGCTGGTCACTTTTTTATAGCCCAGGACACTGATGGTGTCCTTTTAGACACGTGCACGCCCAAACTGAAAGGTGAGCGCACACACATGCATGTACATGCACGGACATGCAGATGTGTGGACATGTGCAGATGTGTGCATACTCAGACATGCACATGTGCATGCGTGGACATGTGTCCATGTGCAGCAGAGACCCAAAGACCAGCTGGCCGGCAGGAGGTGGAGCAACACTAGTAGCACAGCAAGAGATAAGATCTTTTTCTTTAGTGAGCTTCTGTTTTGTTGTTTGCAGGGAAACAGAAGCTCACAAAAGAAATGCCACAGAGATCTGACATGGGGCAATGGCATGCATGCCAGCAGAGAGGGCTCTGCGTGCCATAGGTTAGCCATCACGGGCCTAGGAAGAAGACAGTGGCAAACCACTTCTGAAAAGCTTTGTCCAAACTTTGCCTTTGAGAATCAAACATGATTGAACAAAAGATTAAAAAATTCTATACATGAAGCGTTTTGTTCAGTTGAATAAAAGGCTAGATTAGCCTTTTGATTAAGACTTTTAAAAAATTACAAGTACCATTTGGGAGTTTGAGAATACTAGATAACAAATACACTTGTTTATAACGCAAACTAAATTAATCCCATCTGTGGTACACTACAGGTAAAATATTTTTGCCATTGTAAGAATACACATAAAATGGTATTGCGTGAGATTATAGAATACTGCTATGTAGATTTGTTAAAATGGTAAGGCTAATATATGTATAATATTTGGAACCACATCTTAAAAATAATCTGTTAATAATATAAATATAGCATGTAGAGATGACATAAATACTACAAATTATGGCAACACAAGTAAAAATCCACAATTTTTGGATTAGACAAGACTGCAAAATATTCCTCACTATATTATACGATAGATGCTGTAAGTGTTGCCAAAGGGTTATTTTGTGGGCTGTGCAGTACTTTGAGCATGCATAGGCAACCCATGACGCACCTGTCAATATCTCCTTAAATCATATGAGTCTTTTCTAGAGAGCAATAGCTGCAGAGGGTAACCATGTAATCTCAAGCAAAGGTCCTACTGGTTTAAGTAGTTGTCAGCAGGTGCTACACGATCCCCCGTGTACTCTGAATCACTGTACTGCTCCTGAATCAGTTCTGTCTGTATGATCTTACACTGTCATCTCTTCTATTTGGCAACTGAATTGATTTATTTTTGGCTCAGCTGCAATAGAGTGCAGAAAAACTAGTCTGAAACTCGTGACTTCCCTGTTTGGAATAATTTTTGCTTCTCTATGACTTCCACCTCCTGAGCTATAGACTCCCTAAAGTGAGTTAAGAGCCTCACAGTTTCTTATGATTCAGGAAACTTTCTTTTTTGCATCTGATCAGAAAAATGCACATAACATTAAGTGAGGACATGAAAGTGCAAGTAATTTATTTTCTTTTTTCATGTTGAAGGAGTTAAGGTGGTTCTTTCTTTTTTTTAATTCTAGGACCAATGGCAGCTTAGACAATGATTTCATGATATTCTGTATTTCCTGTTCTTTGTATTTCAAAGTTGGGAGAAGTGAAGATGATTATGAATGATTTTCAAATTGCTTTTAGTAAATTTGGGGATGATACAATTGCAACTTGGAAGTGCCTGTGAATACTTAACTTTGGAAATGGCATATGCCACAGCTTCATGGTATTGTTATTTCTTGAAAACAGCAAGGACTATTGTCTTCTCTTCTGCTTCTCTTTCTACTGAAAATAAGCTCTGCCTCTTTTCAAGGAAATTTTGAAGTTGGAAAAGTCATTATAGATCTTTATAAGACACCTTGTCTCTTCACATGTTATCTTAGAAAAAGCTAGAGGTCAATCTGTCTATCCCATGTTTTTAGAAGTTAATAGAGCCGATGTAAATGAAATCTGATGCTCATCTTGTGCATTAGCTGGATTAAATTCGAATGCATTTTCTAAAATGTGCTTTACAACCTAAGAAAGGAGCAGGCTCTGGGCTTTAATATACACAAGTGCAATGAACACAAAAATATGTGTAGGAATATTCTTTGTGAAAAGCAATACATGTGAAATAAAATGTAAATTACATTGGTCCAAATGTAAAATTAATGCCTTAGGCATACCTACACTTATACTCTTGGAATTGTTTAATGTTTTAATATATAGTTTAATTTAAATAGGTCCCTAAAGATAGATAAAGCATGAATAGCATTAGTGTTTTACACTTATTTATTTATATCCCACCTTTATTCTTTTTATAAGTAACTCAAGATAATAAACATACTTACTACTTCTTCCTCCTATTATCCCCATAACAGCTATCCTGTCAGATGAGTTGTGCTAAGAGAATGTGTACATGGTAATATAAAAGAGTAATACAAACAAAAAAGAAACATATACTTTCATGAAACATACTTACCAATAAATAGGGCTTGGCCAATTTTAGATTACTTCTTCTATTTAGTAAGTGGCTCAGGAGTAGTAGATGATGTGGAATTTTGAAGCTAATTAAGAAACTTATGTAGGAGACTATCAAACCCTCTACAATAGCAGGGAATTAATATAATAATCATTTGGTCCTATCCTGATCATGCACCACCCAGATAATTCGTTAATAGAACTAAGTGAAAAAAGAACTATTAAAATATTATTTTGTATGTTAAATATAACTCTCCTTTGGCAACAACAGTGGCCTTAGTTTTCCTTGTTCAGCCTACTTTCATTCAGTGCAAAATTGAAATTTAACTTTATAGGCATCAGAGGAGTATGGAATCTTTCTTGTATTTTAGTAAATAGATATGTCTGTAAATGTATGTCAAATTAACATTTTAATGAAAATAATGAAAAAATGAATGAAGAAAAAATTGCTTGAAATATTGTTTGTTTCCTCCCCTTCATTTTAAAAGACTTAAATAGAGAAACATTTTCTTAGCTCATGAATTTTATTTGTGTGGGTTACATTGTGTGGTAAATGAACAACATTCACAAATGTCATTCTGAAACTTTAAATAGTTTAATATATAACATAATTTTAAGTACTATCCTAGACTTTAGTTATAGCAGTTTTACTCAACACCCAAAAGTGGTAAAAGAGGAAGTAAATAAGTTTTACTGTTGTATGTGACAGTATGTTGTATGTTACATGCAGGCAGCCCAAGTTCGAATCCAAGTAAGGGTATGGCTAGCTGATGAGACCTAAATAGCTTGAAATAGACCTTTATTTCTTTATCAGTGAAATATAAAATTGGTACACAAACATATCTATATCTATATCTATATCTATATCTATATCTATATCTATCTATATAATAGATTTATAAATCTATTATATAAATCTTTTATATAATAGATATATAAAAGTTGATAGGTTTTATTTTACAGCATCTTTTTAGAGTAATATTTAGCAACATTCTCTGAAATATGGTCAGATTGATCTGATAACAGAACTTAAGATAGGAGTTAGAACAACCAAATTTTAGCTAGAAATGGAGAGAGCATCTCTTGCTAAATGTCAACATATTATGAGCAGCCCCTCCACTGCAAGGACATTATCTCTACTTACAGATTTTTTAAAAAATTAATTACATTTACTTGTCATATTTATATAGCAATTCATCTTATAGACAAGTGATTCTGGATGGCATAAAGCAAAGTTAAAAACAAAATGTAGCATTAGCACTTAGACTTATCCTAAACATGCTTTTTTCAAAAGGCAACTGGACTTTCTGTTTTCTTTGATGACTTTTTGCTTCTCATCCAAGAAGCTTCTTGGACAAAAAGCAAAATGTCTTCAAAGAAAAACCAGAAAGTCCAGTTGCCTCTTGAAAAAGCACCTTTGGGACAACCATGACCTGGATGACTGAGACTCTCCATAGACACCATAGGCCACTTCACAGTGCTTTACAGCCCTCTCTAAGCCATTTACAGAGTCAGCAACAATTGCCCCCAACAATCTTGGTCCTCATTTTACCCAGGATGGAAGGCTGAGTCAGACTTGAGCCAGTCAGAATCAAACTGCCAAACTGCAGTCAGCCGGCAGTCAGCAGAAGTAGCCTGCAGTACTGCATTCTAACCACTGCCCACCACAGCTCAGTACAAGGGTACAAAATGTACAAGTATTTTAATTGTTAATAAAATATTTTAAATTATAAAATATCCATTTTATAACAGCTGCATACACCCCCGCAGTCATGTGATTGCATTTTGGGCACTTAGCAACTGGATCTTTTATGGCCATTTGTGGTGTCTTGCAGTCACATGACCATGATTTCTGACTTTTTTGCCACAGTTTCTGGCACAAAACAAATAGCTCATAGAGAAAATTGATTAATTTAACTATTTCTACAAAAAAATGTCCAAAAAGTCGGGTCACATGATGCGCACACATACACAACACACACACACACAGAGGGAATTGATATCTCCCCTCAGTAACAGGTGTTGGGAGGTGTTAAGTCTATCCAGACCTAACGCCCTTTTACATTTTGGTTGATATACCTTGCTGACTGAAATGGGAGAGAAGAGCTAAGAGCTTCTTCAAACAAGGTTTGAATCAATTCATGGAAGTCATGGGGATCAATAGCTGTTAGTCTTGACAACAGTATGACTGCCTCTGAAGAGCATTTCCTTGGAAACTAATGGACTTCTTGTGCCATTAGTTGGCCACTGCAAATATAGACTAGTGGAATTGATGGGCCAGGATCCGATCCAGTAGGACACTGTGTTCTTATGTGGTACTCAAGAAAATGTTTCTAGGCAAGGCATGCTAGTTGATAGCAACTAATGAGTATTCATAGCCCATCCAAGAGACTGCAGCCCTCAAAAAGCTGACGATTTGTAACTTCTTGTAAAATAACTGACTTCAAAAAGAATTAGTTTTCCACCAGAATTAGAGAAGCCAGACTGGCTGGAAAGAATAGTAATTTTGCCCAGTAGGAAAAAAATGTATTCAATAATATATGCCAGTTTTAGGTAAACTGGCTTCATGACACATCACCATGTTAGAGATGCAGAAGGGTGCTTGATAGATTGTCCTTAGACATTGGGATTGTATCCTTTCAAGCAGGGACAATGATCTAGCTTAATGGGTAGGGCATGAGGTATGCCATGCCTACCCCTTAATGGGTAGGGCATGAGGTATGCTATGATCTTCTGGGGGTAGGCAGAGATAATGGAAAGAGGCAATCCTTCAGCCCTTTTGCCACAAATTGTTTCATAGATGATAATCAGCACCTTAAATTTCTGGTAATCGGTACATCTCATATAGCAGATGGGTTACATGGGTATACTAAAGTGTGGCCATTTCAGTTTGTGTCACTGCATTCTGAGTGTTCTTCAGGCTTGACACCATACAGAGCACATTGCAATTATCCTCACTCAAGGCAACTAAGGTATGAGTAACTTAGAGAGATAGTCCTGAAATGAGAGCAATTGGTGCATTAAATAAATCTGTGCAAAGGCCTTCTTGGTTAAAGTTGCTTGTTCTTCAGACAGAAGCTGTAATCAAGAAGGACTCCACCCCCACTGGCAAAACTACAAAATACTGCATGGATAAGTGCCATCCCATAAAAACCAGAGATAGAGAACCATGACTGCATAGTGACTTGATCTGATCAGGACTGAGTTTAAGCCTGATCCTCTACATTTAGATACAAACAGTGTCCAAGCACAGGGACCAGACTTTGGCAGCAGCTTTGTGAGACACTCTTCAAACTGGGGTTTTTGGTATGGGCTTCTCATTTGCCAACATTGGCTAAAGCTGAACGTGAAGAGAACCCCTCCCAAATCCTGCAGACAGTCCAGAAGGATATCATAATCAATGATACTGAAAGCAAGAAGAACCAGGACAATTTCATGAGCCATATCCTGATTCTGCAAAGGACAGAAATATACATAAGTATAAACAGGATTCTTTGTATACTGCAACCTCACATGAAACAGTACTAAAGGTACCCAGATGATTTGCTTCTTCTGAGGTCTGCTGGAGCTGTCAGTAAATATATTCTGAAGGAGAAGGTTGAAAACTAGATAAACATTGCCCAGAATTGTTGGGTTCAGCAATGATTTCACAAGCAGAGGCTGTACTACCACCTCCTTCCAGACAGGCAGACCTATCTCCGCTCAAAGATGAATTTACCTTGAGTGGAGTGAAAATCCACCAGATGGATTTTCCACAGTTCACCTATAGATACATGAATCTAATGAGCAAGTAACTGACTTATATAAGGAGCCTGTCCATTTTCTCAGGAGTTAGAGGATCAAACATTTATCCAGCTGATTCAACATGTATCTGCTCTAATTTAAAGGTGATCTAAATAAGTTGATTCATCAGATTTATTTTATTTTTTATTTAACAAAGATATGTGGCTGCTCATTTCACTAAATGTGATTCTGAGCAGTCTACAATTAATAATAAAAATGTCAAAGCTATTAAAAACTTTAACAATAAATAAAATCAAGATTCCTATAGTATTATTCATAGCAGCCCTGTATTCTTGTGACCTATCCCTCCCCAGTTTGGGAATGGATCACTTTAAACAGGGCTGCTGGCTATTTGTGTATGTGATAAGAGTGGATGAGCAGCTATGTTTAGCTGTTCCTGTTGCCACAATACAATCTTTAACATGGACTCTTACCTGTGCTTGGTTGAATTGGCTGTTTGTATTTCTCCAATGGTGTATTTTTGTTGTTTCATCTTCTGAAGTGCCATGAAAAATCAGAATCCTGCATGGGATCAATGAACAAAAGAGGCTGCATAGGGGGAATCTGATTATGCACTCATTCCAGGCAGGGATTGCTGTCAAATGTTTACCAGACCCCAAGAAAAACCTCAAACTCTCTCTGAAATTCATTAGGTGCTACAGCAGATTGATCAAATAGGACCTAACTGTTGGGGTGGGGGGATACAAAGATAGTGTTAACAAGCCAAAAAGCAACCAGTGTGACTAACAAATAATGGTAATGTCCTCTGCCTTTAGTTCATATTTCAACCTCCCTGAGATTAAAAAGATCATCAGATCTAAAACAGATCTGATGCCATATGTATTGGATCTTCAATAATCTGGGTCAGATCCATTCCTGATGTTGAGAGTAAAGAATATTACTTTGATGGAGATACAGAGTTGTTCTCCTGATCTGGTCTAACTAGTAGGTCTGACACTTGACATGATGGTTGTGATCTTCTGAGCCCCACAACGCTTTACACCATATAAAGGCAATTTTAACTCTCCCAGAACTATCTGGGAGATTCAACCTAGAAATGAGGAGGAACTTTCTGACACTGAGAACAATCAACCAATGGAACAGCTTGCCTTCGGAAGTTGTGGGAGCTTCATCACTTAAGACTTTCAAAAAAAGATTGGAGTGCCATTTGTCAGAAATGATGTAGGGTCTCCTGCAAGGAGGGGGGGTTGACTAGATGACTTCCAAAATCAGTTTTGGAGACTTCACTACCAGCTATATGATGGAATTGGTCAGCTTATACATAGATCAACTACTCCTTAGAGCCCAACTTTAACCATATTGTCTCACATCTGGTTTTCAGGAACCTGCTAAGGCTTCCCAGATGACAACTGCCAACACGTTCTCTTGTCCTGAAATTTTAGCTGACGAACAGAATCCAGGTGTGCATATATGGATGAGTCTCAATAACACTTGCCAGGTTGACTGTCTCATCCATAATAAGATCATGGATCTTTGTCTTGCTACAAAACAACGTGTCATTTGACAACACCAGCTGGAGACAAAGGCTACTGAAGATCTGGTGACTTTGCAGCAGGGATGATACTGGGAACGAGAAAGTAGAATTGGTATCAAATACTTCGTGCTGTGTGTGTCCTGCTCCCAGATTCCTACCATCTTTCTCTATTCTAAAAATACAAGTGCCAAAAATAACTTGAAGAACATTTTAAATTTTATATATACAATGTGATCCATACATACCTACTAAGGTATCCCCATTTAGTTCAGTGAAAAGTAAACTATGGGAGTCCATGGAGGATTGCAACTAGGGAAATAGTAGAGCAACTATAAAGATCCAGGGCCCCAGCAGAGTTTTTTTCTTCTTCTTTCCCTTCTATTTTAATTGAATGAGAGAGGAAATGATCTGGTTCATTATGTTAAACCACAGCTGATGATGACCAGTCTAAAGCAAACAAATCAGATACAACGTAGTGCCATGTGTGAACTCGGTAATAAACAATCTGAGTTCCAGGCTGATTTAAATGAGAAAGACCATCCGGAAGGTTATAGGAAAAGTAGAATGGTTTTGAGTCCAGGATTGCTCCAGCCATCCTCTTTACCCTCATTGCACCCTGGTTCAGCATTTACTTCTGCCAAGAACACTATCAGTGTTGCTTCTGTGTCTGTAGAATTTATGTTGGAATTCTGGAGCCGTGGGAATGCAGATTGTTCAGCTCTGAAATAGGGTTTTGCCTACAAAAAAATCATGCCAGAAGAAAATAATGAGTCTTTAATGTATCATAGTTTAGGAATGAAAATAATGTTTCCCTTCCAGCCTTCTTGGTTTTATTTTTCCACAGTGCAAAAGAGCATCTGATGTCCCATACCTCAAAGTAAGCCTTCTCATGGATTAAAACTGTATATTATAACAAATACCTTAATACGCCTGAGACAAATTATTTTCCAAATAGGTTTCCTGATGCATAACCAATGTTTTTGTTTGTTTTTTTGTTTGCTCTGATTGCTATTTCCTTGTTATTAAGCACTAATTTCTTGAGAATGGCTGTTTTCTTCCATATGGTGTATTTTGTTGCCTTCGGTAGTATATGTGCTTTTTAAAGTTTACTCTTGTACACTTTATGCTTTCCCTGAATATTTTGTTCTTGTTCATTTTGTGTTCATTTGGAGATTTTTCTCTTAGTAACAGTCTCTATACAGCTGGCTCACTCCGTTCTGTAACTCTTTAACAAGATTTCTCTAATTATTTTAGCAAACAGGATTCTTTTTCATGTTTATAGTTTTATTGTAACCACATGTCACTGAAGATGTCATTCATCTGTTCTAGTCAATTTGTCTCTTCTGTTTTACACTGCAAAAGTATTTTGGATTTTCAGAGCCTCAAATGTACTTCTAGGAAGTACTTCTTAGAAGATAGCAATCCACTTTCATGCCGAAATGGAATGGAATGGACTGGAACAGAATAGTACAGAACAGAACAGAACTTTCAATTTTTTTTGAACCATCAGTTTTGAACTATATAGCAGTCTAGCTCTAAAGCCTGTGATTAAGTGCAAACCCTTGCTTATATAGATTCCACTGAACCATCTCATTCCCATTCCCACTATCATCCTATATAAACATGGGTGGTATATCTTTAACTGTTCATTTGTACAGCTGTACATCTCCACCCCAGGCCACCCCAACGATGCCCTTGAAGTGATGTCCCAGTGCCTGGAGGCCGTGCAGGGCTGGATGGGGAGAAACAGGCTCCGAGTGGCTGTGGCTTCCGGCGTCCCGATATAGCCATCGCTGGCTATTGGTGTGAATCACTGGCCCCCATGGAGAGGGCTCGCAACTTAGGTGTCCTCCTGGATGCACGGCTGTCTTTAGAAGAGCATATGATGGCCGTGGCCAGGGGGGCTTTTTATCAGGTTCGCCTGATACGCCAGTTGCGCCCCTTTCTGGATCGGGACTCCCTACGTACGGTCACTCAAGCACTTGTCACTTCCCGCCTGGATTACTGCAATGCTCTCTACATGGGGTTCCCCTTGGGGTGCACCCAGAGGCTGCAGTTAGTCCAGAATGCGGTCGCGTGGGGGATTATGGGAGCGACGGGGCGCTCACATATGACACCTCTCCTGCGCGAGCTACACTGGCTTCCTGTGGTCTTCCGGGTGAGCTTCAAGGTGTTGGTGACCACCTTTAAAGCGCTCCATGGCTTAGGGCCGGGGTATCTGCGAGACCGCCTTCTGCCGCCAATAGCCTCCCACCGACCGGTTCGCTCGCACAGAGAGGGCCTCCTCAGGGCGCCATCGGCCAGACAGTGCTGGCTGGTGACCCCCAGGGGGAGAGCCTTCTCTGTGGCAGCACCTGCCCTCTGGAATGACCCACCCCTGAGATTCGCACGATATCAGACCTCCGGACTTTTCGTCGGGCCCTGAAAACACACTTATTCCATCTAGCCGGGCTGGCTTGATCCCATCCTCTCAGTTTTAATTGAATTTGGTTTTAATTGGGTTGCTTTAAATTTTGGGCTGAAATTATTTAATTGTTTTTTAAACTGTTTTTAAATTTTATATGCTATGTTTTATCTCGGCTGTACACCACCCTGAGTCCCGCAGGAGAAGGGCGGTATAAAAATAAAATAAAATAAAATAAAAATAAATAAAAAACCAATACAGTAAAATAATCATTCTTTTCAAGTAGTGAGAACAATGAAAAGAATGGCTAAATGTGTACATTATGCCATATCCTTTGGGTTATTTGACTTTGGGTTACTGTATTGTGGTACCCTAGCTACTAAGGTTTAGAAATCATGAGTTTTGACCAACTATAAACCATATGGTTTATTCAAAAGACCATGGTTAACTGTGGTATGGCATATTGTGAGAGCTCAGTTAAATAAAAACTCTTCTCATTACGGTTATTGACTCCTTGTTTATGACTATTAAATTGAGTTGCCTAGGAAAAGTTCCAAGGATAGAAATTACTAGATGTCTAATTCAGGAAATTGGCTTGAAAATGCTCACTTTTAAAATGCTTTTAAAAATGCTTTTTAAAAAGAGTCCATGTGTATTATTATCTCTGTGTATTTTTAAAATATAAATGTTTTATCTCCAAGGTCTGAATGCAACAATAAAATTGAGAAACCTGTCTGAATCAATGGGTGAAATGTTAGTAATTTATAGGTAGTCCTTGATTTACAATCATTCATTTAATGACTGTTCAAAGTTACAATGGCCTAAATTCTCACACTTACAACTGTTTTAAGTGCCAGTTGCCAGGAGTCAAAATTTTGATCATGTGACCTCGCCCCCATAGTCACATGATCAAAATTCAGGCACTTAGCCAATGTCATATATTTACAATGATTGCAGCATCCCAGGGTCATATGATCTTCATTTGTTACTTTTCCAATCAGCTTCTGATGAGCAAAGTCAATGGTGGAAGCTAGATTTGCTTAATCATGTGATTCACTTAACAACCATGGCAAAAGTCATAAGATCAGACACCACTAATTTAACAACCACCTTGCTTAGCAATGGAAATTCTGATCCCAATTGTCATAAGTCAAGGACTACATGTAGAACAGCTTTTAACTGATAATCTTTTTTTTTCTTTTTAGTTTGTCATCCTGTGACAATAGGGTATTCAATTACTGCTGGGGAAATCTAACAGTAATTTACTACTATTTCATCCAGCATTTTCAAAAGAGACAATTCAATATTTCTGAAATAAGGAACAACTGTTTCACTTTCTTAGAAAGAAACTGTTCATTTGTTTTAGTTATCAAACAGATTTCTAACCTGCCTTTTTGCCACAAGTGGGATCAAAAGAAGTTTTTGGTCAAGACTATGAGAATAATCACTTGTTTTTCTTCTCAGCAAACAAGGCAATCAGATCAGAACATCAGCAGCTTATTTGCCTCTGAAGTCAATAGATGAATAGAATAAAAAACGAATTGCTGCTTTGTAAGGTAGGCTACGGTATGTAATCCTATATATGTTTACATATTAAAAGTTCAGTTGGGTTTACTTCCATGTAAATATGCACAGGATGGAAACTGACCTTTCATCTCCTCATTAGGATTCTTGAAATAAATATTGCTAAAGCTTTCGAGCATTTGGTTCCATCTTGCACCAGATTCAGTTGCTGTGGCAAAACTATTGACTGAAGCCAATTACTGAAAAGCTTGTTCTGTGTTCTAACACTGTAAATTAATTATATATTGTTCTCTTAAAGCCAGCCTAGCTTCCAGGCTTTCTCACCCTCTTTAAGCTTGGAGAAGCTTTGTATGGGCATCTCTTAGGAATCTTGTCTAAGGGCCATGTTCTGTTTATCAGGTATAAAGTGTCTGAATCCCTCTGAATGCTTTAGATGATAATCTCTATAAGATCTAATTAATGTGGGCAGTGATGCACACATCTGCTGTGGGGCTACCAAATTTGAGCTTCAATTTTCTCCATTTCTGCTGCCATCTAGGAGAGTTTTTTTATTTAGTTTTTATATATGAACATCTGTAGGAAGTGGTTACATTACATTATGGTGATATTTCATTTAAGTGCATATCTGAAATGGGTTAAGACTATTAAATGATGAGCAAGCTTGCTTGGGATACTACATTGAGTTTCAGTTTAGTAAGTGATTTGATTAATCTAGCATGAATATAGGGAAAAAACCCAACACTCAGATGAACTGCTGTTTCTCAAAAAAGAATAATCTGGGTTGTTTGTTTTTCTTTTAACAGTTGGAGAATTAGAAAATATTGAGCAAAATATATTTTCCCCCCAAAGTAGGTTGGAATGGCCAGTCAATTTAAAGTTATTTAATATTGTCAGAAGCAATATTTGTTGCCTCTATCCATTTCTTAGCCCATGATTTATTTAACCATTGGCTCAAGTGATAAAATTGTTTTACTTAATAGTTCTAAAATATTTCAGAAAATATTTACTCAGAATTATTCATTATAGAATTATCTTCTTGGATTTGGTTGGGAATTCTGTCACATAATCATAGTTTGCTAACAATACATAAAATAATTTTGGAAAGTAATTTTCACAGTCTGAAAATTCACACATAGACTAATTTTGTTACAATTTTTCAAATTAATGTATCTGTTGCTTCTCAATAGTATGTGTACATGTCTCTCTCTGTTGTATTATGTTATTATTATACAGCAAATTATAATGAATATGCCCCACCTATTGCCTCCCTGGCAGGTGATTGACACTCCATCAGCCTCCCTTATCCAGATTGATAAAGATTGCATCCTCCATGGTAGACATATCACCTTCTGTGATGCAGTTTCTCAAACTGTTTGTCAAATTGCCAGCCTTGCATTGGAAGCTGCCAGAGCTCTTTCTTAGCAGTAGAGGCAGTGGCTCAAGTCATAACTCAGGACAGGGCTGACTGTCTGTCACTGAATCACTATGGTTAGAAGGTGAGTCACTTTATGAAAACTTAGTCATTAATTCTATATTTAAAAATGTATGGATTAAAAATTAAGTGTGCTCCTAAACAGCTGTCTTTAAGATGAGGCTCACAAATAACCCAGGTATTTATCACCTGGGGAATAAGGAGAAAACTGATGGGAGCATAATTTCTATTCTACATGTGCTTTTTCTATTGTAGCAACTGACTTTTTTTCTCATACAAATAGTTATCGATTTACAACTATTGGTTTCCTGACCATTTGAAGTTACAACAGCACTTGAAAAAGTGACCTACAATTGTTCCTCACGCTTATGACAGTTACAGCATCCCCATGATCAAAATCTGAGTGCTTGGCAACAGCATGTATTTATGATGGTTACAGCATCCTGAAGGCGTGTGATTGCTATTTGTGACCTTCCCAGCTGGCTTCCAGCCAGCAAAGTCAATGGGGGAAGCCAAACTTGCTTAACAACCATATGATTCACTTAACTGTAGTGATTTGTTTAACAACTATGAGAAAAAAAGGGTAAACTTGAGTGTGATGTATTTAATAACCTTCTTGCTTAGTTATCAAAATTCTGGTATAAATTGTGGTTGTAATTCAAGAACTACCTGTAATCGAGGGGTGAAATCCAGCAGGTTCTGACAGGTTCTGAAGAGCCGGTAGCAGAATCGGAGAACTGGCAAATACCACCTCTGGCTGACCCCAGAGTGGGGAGGGAATGAGGATTTTGCAGTATCCTTCTCTTGCCATGCCCACCACATGCCCACCAAGCCACACCACGCCTACCAAGCCATACCACACCATACCACGCCCACCAAGCCACGCCCACAGAACTGGTAATAAAAAAAATTGGATTTCACCATTGCTGTAATCTCTAGGGAATTCCATGCACCTGCCTGAATGCCACTAATGATCACTAAATAAATATAACATCATTTATTTGGAACATTGGAATGTTTAGTGGTAGCACTTTTGGGATTTATGTTTGTCAGAGGTATCCTGTGCTTTTAAAGGTGGTAGAAATTGAATAGAGAGTATTCCAGTACTCCAGGAATAGCATTATGGCATTATAGTGTGTCATTCATTTGGAGAGTGATGTTCCATGGGTCATGCAGGCACCACTTTGGGAAATGAAAATAATAGCTGCCAACCAGGAGCCAGAAGTAGTATACTACTGTCAGCACTGTCAAAGGGGCTTAGGTGAGAGAAAGGTATAGGTCTATTCAGCTGACTGCTTTCACAACAATTTTTGGGACAACCATAATGTCAGTACTAGTTTCTAAAATTGCAACACCAATAGAGGAATAAAAATGTTATTTTCAAAAGTTTGTGTCCAAGTACAGGAATCTCTGGAGAAGAGGCTCTAAGAACAGGAAATAGATACTGCTTTTCAGTAAACATCTCTTGGAGACAACTCTTGGCAAGACCAGTTTGTTCTAAATTAAAGTTCTATAACTTGCTATAAAATCTTATATGCTTCTTTCCATTTCTTTATACCAGGATTTATTGATCCACAACTGCATAGTATAATGGAAATTTTAGTGTATTGAACAAAAATAAGATCATATGAAAGGAAAACCTTAACAAAGCAAAAATGAAAATTAGGATGCTAGTGCTTATCCGTGATTGCTTAGAACTATTGGACCAGGTAACTTCCAGTAAGAAAAACAAATACTTTCAATAGGAGGTAAATGAATTCTTTGTAGTTTTGTCTGCTTGAAAAACAGGATAACTTGAAAATGTATGGTGGTTATGGTACTGTTAGGTATCTATTAAGATAAATAAGTACAACCGTGTTACCAGGGGTGAAATCTAGCAGGTTCTAGCCGGTTCTGGAGAACCTGTAGCGGAAATTTTGAGTAGTTAAGAGATCCAGCAAATACCACCTCTGGCTGGCCCCAGAGTGGGGTGGGAATGGAGATTTTCCAGTATTCTTCCCCTAGAATGGGGTGGGAATGGAGATTTTTGCAATATCCTTTCTCTGCCACACCCACCAAGCCAGCCCCACAGAACCGGTAGGGAAAATTTTTGGATTTCACCCCTCTATGTTACTAACTTAACAACTACAATAAATCGCTTAACAACTGTGGCAAGAAAGATCACAAAATGGGGCAAAAATCACTTAACAAATGTTTCACTTAGCAACAGAAATTTTGGGCTCAGTTCTGGTTGTAAGTCAAGAACTACTTGCATATACTGTTGGGATTTCAGTGAATATTGAGTTGTTTGTAAAAATAGCTTGAAAAGATGTTAATAGCATATAATCTCTGAAAGAATTGAATTCAATCTCAATTCAACCTTTATTGTCAATGCACAACACATGCACAATGAGATTGGCTGAGCCTCCCTTTGTGCACCCCCCCCCCCCAACATATCAATAACTCACAATGGGAGAAAGAAAATCCCTAACCCAATAAATCATACTAACAACACACAATCCTCTCTCTATATATATGCATAACATTGCATTATAATACATATATTGCACCAAAATGGACATGTTGTACCGGCCCTGCAAGTCTATCATACTACATGCTTATGATGTTACGTTGCATTCAGGAGTCTTGACAGCCCATGGATAAAAGCTGTTCTTCAGCCTGTTCATACGACTGGCTATGCTTCTATATCTCCTACCTGATGGTAGCAGAGTAAAGAAGTTCTGACCAGGGTGTGAGTTGACCCTGAGGATTTTCCTCACTTTTCTAAGCGAGTCCTAGCGATTTCATCTAGAGATGTCAGGGGAGAGCCCATAATGTTTTGTGCTGTGCTCATCACCGTCTTTAATGTCTTTCTCTCTGCGGTTGTCAAGCCAGCATACCATATCGTGATGCAATAAGTGAGGACGCTTTCTATTGTGGACTGGTAAAAGGAGGTCATCAGTTGTTTTTTCCACCTTGTTCTTCTGCAAGACCCTAAGGTCTTCTCCCTAAGGAGTCTCCGTTTGGCCTTCCTGGCCACCTGGATTTTGTTGTTTCTCCAGGTGAGATCTTCACTAAGATGAACTCCCAGGAATTGGAAGGAGGGGACTATCTCCACACAGCCCCCCTCGATGTAAAATGGGGCAGGTTTCTCTCTCTTCTTCTGGAAGTCCAGCACCATCTCCTTTGTCTTGCGATGTTCAGGTGCAGGTTGTTTTCTAAGCACCATGTGGATAGTGAAATAGCATATAAGTCATAAACTAGAATTCAGAAATATGGCACTCAGATCAGAAGTATGCAACCTGATACTTATGGGCACCAATATAGCCTTCCTTATAAACCATCCAGGCTCCTGTTCCACCTGACTTTGTTTTCAGTTGAAAAACTTGACCTGGGATACACCTTTTCCAAGTTGGTAAAGAGTATTGGACGGGAGAACAATAATATGTTCCTCTTCTGACACCAGTAGTAAAATAGGTGTTTTATTACAGGTCATACTCAGTGTGTTAGATACAATAGGAATAGGCAATGATTTACTGTAAGTGTCCAAAACTTAATCTAAATGGGACACTGGCCCACAACAACGTCAATCTACTTTAGATAAATTATATCTATCTCCAGACAGATTAATGGTTGAGGATTTTTAAATATATATATATAATGGCCAAGGAACCCTAAATCCCCAGAATTATTTTATGTGACCATTTCAAATTATTAAAGGATTTGAGAATTAATTTTTAATGGCTAAAGGATTCCTATCAATTAGGATAATTTCTGCGATCATTTAAAATTATAACAGAATTTGAGAATTAATTTAATATTATAACTTTCCCTAAACTGTCCTATGAGTGTATTGGGCTGCAGCACATACAGTTTCCAATTAAGGCCATTTGTCCAAAAATATGGCAAAAGTAATTTGAGGATACCCTCTTGAGAACCATTTCTGTAGCATGCTGAGTTATTTGATGGTGTAATCACAATACAATGAAGGTAACAAGGTGGTGAGTAATATTCTGATTTTTTCCAGGATTAATTCTCCCCCCAACCCCAAATGTCTAATTTTGACTTAGTCTTCTTGATTCTTAACATGTCTTAGAACAATTTATCCTCTTGCTATGCCCTGTAACAGAACTATTCATTAAAACTTTATTTTCTGTGGGGAGCAGGTTGGCAGTTGTTACTCATCCACCTGTCTCCTTTAATAAAAGACTAATACATAAATTGAAATATGTTTCTTTTGGAAGTAAGTTTTAGATGAGAGAGCACAATGCTGTACTGGAGAGCCAAGGGTCTGGTGTAAAGCCAACTGAAACCAATTATTCTTCCCATTAGTTTCAGTGATCGATGGTGTGCACCTCAAACACATCTGCTCTCTCCTCTGAAATGGACACTAAGAGCAATGAGGCAGTGGGGTTGCTTCAATCAGCTGTAGGAACAAGTCAGGCAAAAAAAATAAATAAATCCTAAATCCACAGATAGAACTGAAATAAATGAATAGATACGCAGTTTCAAATTCTAGTACTGTACTTAGTAAATAACTGACTTCTTTCTAATTAATATAGCAGTGTAAGTGAAACTAAAGCGTTTTTATTTCACATAATAAAATTGCCTCTTTTGCTTAGCAACCAGTTTTACCTTCAGTTAAAAAACACAATATCTAATTAAAGAATATTACTGATAATGTAAAATTTCAATTCATTGCGACTCTTCCAAGTGTTGCACAAAGAAAAGTGAGTCAATCTATTCTCCAAAGCACTTGAAGGCAGAATAAGAACCAATGGGTGGAAACTAATCAAAGAGAGAATCAACCTAGAACTAAGGAGAAATTTCCTAACAGTTAAAGCAAATAATCAATGGGACGACTTGCCTCCAGAAGTTGTGGATGCTCCAACACTGGAACCTTTTTAAGAAGAGATTGGACAACCATCTGTCTGAAATGGTATAGGTTCCTGCTTGAGCAGGGGATTGGACTAGAAGATCTCAAAGATCCTTTTCAACTCTGTTATTTTGTTATTCAATTTTAATTTAATTTTTTAATTTAATTTGATTTATATGCCGCCCTTCTCCGGAGACTCAGGGCAGCTTACAATGTGCTAAGCAATAGCCTTCATCCTTTTGTATATTTATACAAAGTCAGCTTATTGCCCCCACAAACTGGATCCTCATTTCACTTACCTTAGAAAGGATGGAAGGCTGAGTCAACCTTGAGCCTTGGCGAGATTCGAACTGCAGTAATTGCAGGCAGCTGTTCTTAATAACAGGGTGCTTTAGACCACTGTACTACCAAGGCCCTCAAGTGTGGCTTCTTGACTCATGTAGGCGGTTTCAACACCCAGGACTTTTGCTGTGAACAGGATTGGTAGCCATTGCTTTTTTGTAATTAATTAAACCTGCCCTATTCAACTGCATCCTTAACATATTTTGATCAAAAGTATTTCTCACTGAATTACAGGAGTTACCTCCTAATCCTATACTTAGAATTGTAAACAGCTATTTAGGACTCTGAAACCCACTCACTACTCAATGCTGGAATTAAAAACTTTCCCAACAGATTGTTGTCCAACCTCTGCCTAAACACATCCAGCAATTGGGAATATACCAACTCCTTAAGTATTCCACTGTGGAACTATCCTTATTGTCTACAAGATGTGTAGAAAATGTTCAGTATGAATTTGCAATTGTACCTTAAAACCATCTGTGTCTTTCATGTTGGAAATATCATGAAAGATCATGGTATTATTCTAAGAGACATGCTTTCAGAACATGTTTTTCTTAAGGCTATACATATGCATTCCTTTAATCTGAGTATTTATAACTTAGTTTTCAATCTCCATATTGTATTCTCCAGATAGAAACAGTTTCTATCTGTTTCTGTCTCAATCTTAAAACGTCAGAATACTGCATTTTCATGCACCCTTTCTTGGTTCCCCCTTCATAGTACTCAACATTCCCTGCCAAGTAGAGTGAATGCAGATATATATTGCACTTTTAGTCACAAAAATGATCTCCACCCAATCAGGAATCACACACTGGACAGCATGTTATACAGGATTGTACTCTCTAGCTAATAACATAACTAAAGTTTAAGTGAGTTAAAATAATAGTAGAATTAAATTATTATAAATAAACAAGCACTTAAAAGTATTGTGAGAGAAATGAAAAATGGTAACTGTCTAAGGAGATTCTTTAGGTCATCCAGATCATGCTTGTCCCAAACATGCATTTTCAAAAGGCAACTGAACTTCTTGTTTTTGCTTTAAGACATTTTGCTTCTCATCTAAGAAACTCTGAAGGAATGGTGGAGAATGGAAGGATTTATATTTCTTGTAGTCATCTGGTTGTTAGCACTCTTTCTGAAAGTTGTTGAGGCTCTTTGGAGATTTATCTGTGCTCTCAGGATCACCTTAATAGTGCAAATGAGTAAGGAACCATCTTGAAACTGCTGAAAGGACTGTGTTGTAAATAAGAAATAGATGTTTGATGAGGGAGGGCTGTTCAATCTTAATGTAGATTACCTCTTTGACCCCTTTCAAACCAGCGGTTCTCTATGTCCAAAATGTGACCTTTGCTATCTTCAAAACAATGACCTACATTTGAAAGACAAACTCTAGGTTGGAGAGAACCAACCTAGAACTAAGGAGAGATTTTTTGACAGAACAATGAACCAGTGGGAACGGTTTGCCTCCAGAGGTTATGGATACTTCATCACTGGAGGTTTTTAAGAAGAGATTGTACACAGCCATTTGTCCATAATGATATATGGTATCCTCTTTGAGCAGGGGGCAGGACTAGAAGATCTCCAAAGTCCCTTCCAACTCTGTTATTGTGTTAAATAGGTTTGCAGTGACACGCTACAATTAGAATAGGCAATTGATTATTCAAAACCGTAGTTTTTAAAGTGTGTGCTGAAAATATATTTTAGAGCTAATTAAAACAAAGAAGTTAGATTATTTGTGTACATAACATATACGTGCTGTTTGGAACATCATGCCCCTCTGAGGTGGAAAACACACCCACCTTTTTGGTCTTTTGAAAAATCCTGAAGCTTGGCCTTGCCAAATGTTCTGTGGGGGATGTTATTCTGAAAGTAGTTAGCAGGCTAGAGAGGACCCTACCTCTCTCCTTGTATGTATCTTGATCTCTTCTTCACATTTTTATCCATTTTAAATTAATGGTGTTAATTGTAATGCTTTTTATTGGTTTTTAATGATTGTTAAGCACCTGGAGTCACCTCTAGGTGAGGTGTGCAGCATATAAATTACATGAATAAATAAACAAAGAAATAAAACAGCATAAACTTGAATAAATAAGATTGGGAAAAACAGAATGTTGCATGTTTCCATCTGTTTTCCAACTTTGTTAGGGAACTTCTAAGGCATTCAAGGTAGACTAAACAAGAAACCTGAACAATAGATTTGTTTCTCTAGCGTTAAATGCTTAAACTGTAAATTTCTGAACACTGTTCTAATTAATAAACAAACTCAGTGTGGATTCAATCTCCTTTCTCTGAATCAATAAACAGAGAAGTCATGAGAAAAGGACCTTCTCCCTTCAGGGAGTTTTTTCTTTTAAATGTTAACTCTGATTGTTAATATCCTGTTTCTATTTCTTTGTGAAATCACCCCCACAGAAAAACACCTCACTTATTTTTTACACTGCCTTGTGCTTTCTGTTGGTATTTTGTTTTCATGCATTTATCTATGCCAAAGATGATAATTATTAGTTGCTAAAATAAACTTTTAAAATGGGAATACATGTTCATTGCAAAGTCAAGTCTGAAAAAATTAAGAATTTCAAATGACACTTTAATTCATGATTAGATACTTGTTAGAATCACATGCATACACAATCCACTTTTCAGAAACAAAGAGAAGAAAATAACATTAATCTGGGGGAAGAGGCACACTTTAAAATAGATATCTCTAATATGGCATTTTTTGTTATATTGGGACTACAAATCTCATAAACCCAGTCTTATAAAAATGCCAGGTTGGCGCACTTGATTTATATTACTATCTACATAAATAGCCAATATCCAGAGAATGAAACTGGTGGAGACAACTAAAATTTCAGATATTTATCCATTGCGATATATCATCAAGCATTTCAAAAGATGTATATGGTTGCTTATTTATTTTCAGAATTATAATATTATAATATTAATATAATATTAATATTATAATATTAATTATAATTATAATATTATAATAATTATAATATAATATAGAACTTTTGAGTTCTAACAGGGCTACTTATTATCAATTATTACAAGAAATATATACAACGATGTGAAAAGTAAAACGATCGGACACAATAAAACAGAATAACCTAAAACAGAACAAATCAACCTATAATATACCGAAAATGATTAAAAACACTGGGAAAACAATACACTTTTCAAAGCAAATTTATAAGTATCTAAGAAGAGTTCTTGATCATATCCTTACAGATGAAATTGCCAAGTCTATGAAAGATTATTTGGATGTTGATGAAAAGGTTTTGTTTAAAGTAGAACATGAAATATGGCAAGCATTGAGGGGAAGAAGACCCTGAGAAGTTTGTATTTTAATATTTAGTGTGTATGTACATGTTTGTGTATGTCAGGGATGTCAAAGACGAGGCCTGTGGGCTGCATCCGGCCTGCAATGGGGTTGGATCCATCCCTTGGGGCTGTCCTGGAAAATGTAAGGAGCCGGCTTGCATTGCTTTGGCCCAGTCTACCTAATGTAAAGAGGAAACATCAGGCCTGTGTTGCTTTGGCCCGGTCTATCCAATGCAAAGAGGAAACGGGGCCAGCCTCACTTCAGCCCGGTCTACCCAGAGCGAAGAGGAAACATGCCAGCAGTTTGGGGAGTGGTGTCAAGCTGGCCATGCCGACGCAATTGGTCATACTCACCCAGTTGGCCACACCTACCCCGTTGGCCAAGCCCACTCAGCCTCCTGAGGTCAACAACAGCCCTGATGCGGCCCTCAATGAAATTGAGTTTGAAAACTCTGGTGTGTGTGCTTAAATAAAAAATAAATTACATAGTAATATTTAAATAAAATATAAACTACAGGTGAGAATCATATTTACTGAGCACAGTTTAATAACCATTTTGGATTTTTGACTAACCATGTAATAGCATTGTTTTGCTATTATGAAAAAAATGTTTTGTGTACCTTTCATATTTTATGTATTTACATTTCTTCAACATGTCTACTAAATCAATGTTCAATTCCTTTTTGGAGAAAGAAAAGTGTATGTATTTCAATGGAAAGCAGTTTAAATTTTGAATGAAACTTGAGATATTTTCACAGAAAGGAACTTATTTAGTAATAGAATCTTGCAATGTGTTTAAAAGAAAGACATAATTTGATATTTTTATTTTAATAAAAGATCATGCAGGTTATTTCTGCATCCACAGTTTATCCATAAAACTATTTCCAGTGAATAAAGAATATAATTCTTCACTAGAAATGAGAATATAATTCTTCATTAGAAATGAAGTTTCCCCTTATATGTTCCATTTTCTAAAACGATGAACAATTCGTTGAAATGAGCTGTTTTGCTGTGACATTTCTATACTCAGTTAAAAAAAACTACTCAGCATGTTGTATGTAGAGACTTAAAACTGCTTAAAATGAATGTGAACAGTTCCATAATTATTACTTCTTTAACTATCACATGCTGTTTTTTAATCCTTTCCTAGCACAAAGAATCCAAGATCTATAGTTCAGGGTGATAGAAGTTGCAGTACATATCCATTGGACTATAGATTCTCTAATCAAATATTGTCTAGCTATTAACTTCACATAAAGAAAAAGAAGTAAAATATTATGATTGGACAATTTACTTACCCATGGGCTGCTCTGTGCTACATAGATAGACTGGAATAGACAATTCAATGTTTTCCAAATGTTGAAATAAAGTTTCTAAAAGCCTTGTTATTGATCTTGCTAGCAAGGAGTTGAAATCAAAACTTATGGAGGAATTAGCTGGCCAACCTCTGATAATGGACTTCTATGCATCTGAATCTATGATACAGATGGTGAGAAGCCATGATAGAAAAACTGAAAGAAAGCTCCATATTATGATAAGGTTAAGCCCAAACAAATCATCTTGTGGTTTAGTGATGCACAGATATAGTCTATACCTGTGATGGCGAACCTATGGCACATGTACCCAAAGTGGCACGTGAAGCCATGTGACCCAATATGTGCGGCCTTGTCTGTTTGTCTTCCAAATTTCTGGCACGCATGCACACGCGCTGATCAGCTATCTTTTGCTCGCACGCACACTGGCCAGCTGATTGGCACTCATGCGCGCTAGAACCCAGAAGTTCGGCTTTCCTAGAGTGCGATTTCTTTGTGTGTGTGGCAGTGCTGAAAACCAGCCTGTGCATGTGTGCCAGCCAGCTGATAGTTGGGTGCACATGCATACTAAAACCCAGAAGTTCGGCTTTTCCAGAGCGTGACCCTGACATGTGCGCAAGAACCAGGAGCATGTGTGAAATGCTCCTGGTTCTGATCCGGTAGCGATGGGTGGTTCAGAGAAGTAGTAGCAAAAATCCCTGCCCCCATGCCCACCCAATTGTCCAGTCGCCCACTTGCCGCTTCTTTTAAAAAATGCTTTTAAAAGGTACAAAAAGGCTCTGATGATCCCAGCTTTGTTGCCTGATCGTCAGAGCCTTTTTTTACCTTTTAAAAGCATTTTTCTACAACCTATTCAGCCGAATAGGTTGTAAAAAATGCTTTTAAAAGGTTAAGAAAAGGCTCTGACTATCCCAGCTGAGCTGCCTGAATAGTTGTAAAAAAAATGCTTTTAAAAGGTAAAAAAAAGATCGCGCGCCAAAGCTGATCAACCCCCCGCGTGCTGTTCTACCTACCCCATGCCTCCTTTTGGCGCATTTGGTGCATAGTGTGCACTGCACATGCGCACCCAGCACGCATGTGCAACCAGTGAACCGGTAGTAAACCAGTTCAGATTTCACCACTGGTGTGTGCGTGTGACGTTTCCATGCAACCTTTTCAGCACTCGGTGCCAAAAAGATTTGCCATCACTGGTCTATACATTCCACCTTCCCCACGATGTTAAGAAAACAAACCTATCTGCATTAGAGTAAGTACTTCCAACCTTTTCCAATTACATCCTGCAAATTAAAGTAACCAAGACTAAGGGTGCATAGCCAATGTTAGATCAGAACATAACTGTAGAGCAGGGGTGTCAAACTCTATTTCATTGAAGGCTGCATCAGTGTTGTGTTTGACGGCAGGGGGAGGGGGAGGCGTGGCCAGCTCAATGTCACTTGTGTCAGGGGTGCCTGTGGTGGCCCAAGCACTCTGCCAGTGAAAATGGGTTCCCAAGTTCCATTTTCGGCTGCGATGGCTTCCTGTAACTCTCCTCCAGCGAAAACGGACCTCGGGAGGACAGCTTGAAGCCCTCCTGAGCTCTGTTTTTGCTGGCAGAGGCACCACGGGTCAGTTCTTTGCTTTTTCCAGGGTGGTCCTGTGGGCCAAATCTCAGCACCCCGCGGGTTGGATCTGGCCCCCAGGCCTTGAGTTTGACACCCCTGCTGTAGTGTATAGTATTCAAACTAAGATTTGAATACTAAGGCTAAGATTTCAATCCATTGAGACCAGGGCCACATATGCAAAATGTAACTAATATATCGTATTAACTTTAATGGGACTAAAACTAGCTTTTTTATGTGGTAAGTCAGGATCAAAATGAGCCTGGCCATTTGTCAATTTCTCAGCACAATTCAGAGTGTTGATGTGTGCTGTTAAGCCTTGCCAGAGGTCCTTCTCCTTTTAATGTCAGACAGATGGCAATCTCAGAGAGGCTTTCTCAGCAGCCTTGTCCTGAATTCAGAGCACCTGTCCCCTGAGAGAATGCCTGATTTCAAAACTGGTTGTTTTTTCAGTACTAATAAAGGCTTTGCTCTATTAGTACATGCTAATCTGTGGAATACTTAGTTTATTAAAACTACAATTGAGTAGTTTTACTCAAAAACTACAATATAAACTTTAACTGCATTAAAAAAATCATTGTAAAGATTTTATTTCTGTTATGCTTTTTTTCTGCTTTTTGAAATGTTATTTCACATTTAAATATAATTTATGTCACTTTTAGGGTTTTGTAAGTTTTTGGTAGCATTTAAAATTTTACCAAAATTAATATATTAATCAGTCATTTTTGAAGAATACTTCTTACAAGAAATACTAAATAATGGAAACAAGCTTTACATGCGTCATATTTGCAGAGATTTACTTGAAGGCTAACATAGATATAGGCCTATGATTAGATAAATTCAAGTTTGAGTTCAATTGCTAAAGAGAAAAAAAGAGTCAAACTTGTGGACTTTTTAAAATAACTTCATAGCAACTCCTAGAAATGTTACCTGCAAACTAGGCAGAATTCTCTATTTTTTATTCTAATAATTGGGCTCAGTTTTGGTTCTAGCCTAATTTCAGTGCAGCCTGTTGAGACTTTATAGGTGGGGGGGAATAAGTTTAGTTTTTCTTAAGAGCAGCCTGCTGTTTAGAGAGCAAGAGGGTGGAGATAAACTTAGAAAAAAGATGAGTGAAGGAAGATAATGAGCAAATGTTACAGGGCCCTTCACACAAAAAAGACCAATTCCTGTTTTAAAGCAAAGACCAACATAGAATTCTAGTGTAATACATTGAAGGTATTTTAATGTCCATAGAGTAGGCTCTACTGATTATAATGACACCTTTCCCTCAACCCAAAAAGTAAAAATTATAATGTTTGCTTTCTCCAACCAGTTGTGTTAGACCACCTTCAAAATTCCTAGCCAGCCATTTCAAAGTTTGGAAATTTGGAAAATTCAACATCTTTGGGATGCACTAGATTTGGGGAATATGGGATTATACTGTAGTCATGGTTTTACCTGTATATGCAGGACTGGGGTGGCTATCTGTGGAAGACATCAAGATTAACATTAGACCAACAAGAAGTAAACAATAGCCCAATCAACGAGCTACCAACACAAACAAACAATTTAACAGCAAACAACAGCCCAATCAAGGAATTACCAAAACCACACCCACCAACACTGACAGGACAAGCCACTAGAACAGAGTACCCCAAGCTTTCCAGCTTTGTGGATCA